ACTCTCTCCCCTCTCACTCCTCTACATCCGAGTGACAAAAGTCTCTCCTGAGTGAAATCATGCGTTTCCCTCTCGCCTTTATCTCTGATGGCCATTCCACTAGCTTGCGGGGTCATTATTTTGCTGCTGGACACGACAAAGATGAAAAGGCTACTTTGTGTGCTTACTCACACTTTAAATCTTTCAGTGCAAAATGAGTTGTTATGTTTCGACTAGAGCATTATTAATAATCTTGGGTTAAGATATAAAGCTGCGGGGAAAAAAAAAACTGTTAGGAGGCCTGAATGGAATGCCCTCTATTTTTTATGAGTGTTTGTGTTGGGGGAGGGGGTGTGTGTGCATGCATGTAAGTTTGTATTCGTAGGGTCAACCCTTTTATCCTCGTCTTTCAGGAGAGAGTGCGAGTGAGTGTTTGTGTGTTTCTGCATTCTCCGCAGGGACTATTTCAGTTGAGGGCAAAGAACACAGAGAAACTTTGAAAGAGCTTTTATGTACTTTCGAGTGAAATGATCCTAAGAAAGGCTTTTTATAAAAAAAAATACTTTTTATTCTGGCTTCCACATCCAGAAGGGCACTTACCCAATTACCAAGCTCCCTTCCTCCCTTTTTACATCCATCAATCCCTCTTCTATTCTTAGGCCTGTGTTGTGTGTGTGGAGGCATTGCCATGGGCTAAGAGCATGAGCTTAGTAGTAGAGCAATGTAGGGCATGTCAGTGAGTATACAGTGAGTCAGCCATTTGTAAGCACTTTTGGCCATATTGTAAGACTTCAAAAGATCATGCAAACAGAAATAAGACAACATATTTGATTACTAATCTTGCTAATGTTGACTGTTTTGGAAGCAAAAGTTTATTGGCCTCCTACTTTTTGTGGATGATTAATTTTTTACTTTCGAAATTGTTCAAAAGGACCAAAAAAAACAACCTTCCTTTGATATCACACATTCGCTAAGGTAAAATAGGGCATATACAGATAAAGCTGATCCTGTATGACAAGCTAACTGAATGAGAGGTAAACTCATTCTGTCGCCCTCACTTTCGCATCTCAGCTCTTTTTAACTGCAGCCTTGTCACTCAGTAGCCTGAAAGGCAAGACCTCACACAGGTTTGACAGATAAAAGTCTCCTCACTTCATTGCTGTTTGACATTTTGCCTCCCAGAAAAGTTTCAGCCTCCTCCTCCCTTTCTTTCTGTCCTTCCATCTCACGAACACACACACGCATACTCCCCTCAATGTGAGTCCATCTCCTCTCCTCCTGTCCATCTGCCAGGCAAAATGGAGCCTCAGACAAAGGAGACGGAGGCTAACTCAGTGATCTGAATCAAATGGCAAGAGGAGGAGGGTTGCGGAGGAAAAGAGGAGTGATGGGTGCCAGGGAGGGAGCATGAGAGACACAGGAGACAGAGGGGTTGGATGGTGAAGGGAGGCATGAGGGGCTAGATGAGAATTTTTTCTGACAGGTTGAAGTCTCCTCTGAGCTGACCCTCTCCCTGCTGGGAGCCATTTCTCCTAGTTGTGGGTGGGGTGAGGCAGGGTGGAGAAGAAAGGGAGATATAAGAAGGAGCAATGAACTGTGATTATGGAAATGCCATGCTGAATGAAGCAGTACCAGCAGTAATCAATAGTAAGCATGCAGTATATTATGTTGAGTAACACCAAAGCACAAACTATTGCAGGAATCTGTCAGTATTACATTTCCCAAGTTAGGTTAATACCACTATCACTCAGTGTCACGTGGCATTGTGTGACTAGCCAGCACTTGAGATATAGTGACACAGAAGACACATCGGCTGTCTGGGTCATTTTAAAATTTCATGTACTGAAAAAAGAGTATTGATTTGTAAGTAGTAACACTCCGGCAGGGCAGACTGGTCAAACATGGTGACAAGTGACTTCCAGCGACACCAGGGTTGAGAGAGGGGGAAAAAAAACAAGATAAAGAGGGCAGATCATTGATTTGAATGTCTGGGGAGGATGCCTGAGTCTCTGAATGTGTACAAGAGATGAGTAAAAAAATGTGGCTCTGTCATAGGCAAAGAGGAATATAGACATCAATGGATGGATGTAAATTTATTCTAGTGCTGAAACAATTAAGATCTGCTGTTTTCTTTCTCAAATGCTGTATCAAAATGTTCTGAATATATCCTACAATAAATGCTAATCTTAGCATGCTTACATGTATACAGTGTCAGTGCTAAATATTCAGATGTTTAGCAGGTATATTTTAGTTATTTATTTATATAGCTCCAATTCGTAACAGAAGTTATGTCTTTGCGCTTTTCATATAGAGCAGGTCAATGCAAGTTCCACATAGAAATGTAAAACAATAGTAATGCTAGTTGTGATAATACAAATCACATAATAATCACAATAGGACTAATAATAGTAGCAGTGGGTGTCAAGCAGATACATGGGGGCAATAGGTAATGTTTACCATGTTCACCATCTTAGATAGCATGCTAGCATTTGCTTATTAACATTAAACACAAAGTACCGTTTCTGTCAGCTGATGGAAATTGATTAGCATTGCTGGTATTTGGTCACAAACCACAGTATTTAACATTTAAAAAATCATTAGGATTCAGAGGTACATTGGCTTCTATAACAAAATCTGTGCTCATCCATTTTGCAGATGTACATAACAAGGACAAATTTGAGAAGCTGAAACAGAGAACTTTGACATTTTCCCCTAGAAAATGACTCGGATTGAATAATCGCAAATAGCAAAAAAGTTGTTTATTAATTTAATAGTTGACAACTAATCGACTAATTGACTTATCATTGCAGTGTGTGCCAAGTAAGTAAAGAACAACAAAAGTGCCCTATAATAGCCTCGTAAGTTGTGTAATCATATTTCTTTCTACTGGCCTACCTGTACTACATTTGGCCGCCGAAGGGGAAAAAAAGCTCATGTTGTAACACCGTATTCAGCTCTGGTGTTTTCTCTACAGTACTATTTTGTTTGTGACATGGATGTATTTACAAACAGTGTTTGACTAAAGGGCAGTGTCTCATCTTGAAAACAGTGTTGCAGTAGATGGTCCGATTATTTGACATACTTCAATACACACAGTGAGCTGTTTATGGCACACACACACCTGCAGAACATTAGCCAAGAAAGAATTCCTCAACAGACAAATTTATTGGGACACACAATCGCCCTGAACACACACACACACACACACACACGCATGTCTCCAACTCTCATGTTTAAGTGCAGAGAGGTGCTTGAGTAAGATTTCGCCTCAGACAGAATAAGCTCAGGTAAGGAGGGAATCATTACTGTCTGCTTTGTCTCATCTCCATAATGTTTGCATATTCTCAAGTAGGTGGAAATGCAAAATGAAACATAATTATGTTGTACTCCCGCTGACAACTGATCTGTCACCAGGCGCATTAGAAACACCACTGTGTATAGCGTGAAGAAAAAAGGGTGGAGAGAGAAGAGAACTTGTGTGGGCCTAGCTTATCTCTCAGGCTCTGACAAGGCTACTTACCTGGAGGTTGTAAAAATAAAATAAAAAACAGCATAAAATAAATAAATCAGTAATACCTGCCGCACACACACAACTGTACATCTAAGCTCATTAAACAAACACACTTCTGTGTCTCCTTCCTAGTTCTACCATCCCAACCAAGACAGATCTCTCACCCTCAGTAGAAAGCACAATTAAACCAGACCAGACAAATATAGCATGGGAGTATAATCCTTCTGAATCACCTTGGAAGTCAAGAAGATGAAAAAGCCGCCCTTCTTTATAGCTGCAATGCTGGTTCTGTTTAAGGAAGTAGGTTGGCCTCTTTCAGCATGTTTACTTGCAGCCAAGTACAAATTAACCTCCCAAGATCAACAATAAACCTAATTAGAGTTGTGTTCAGCAGCACACATCTCTAAACACAGATCACAGCTTGTTGAGAGATGAATCTCCATCTGTCTGGCTGCACACTGGGAGGAGGAGTGACTCTGAGAAGATCAGTCCCAAGATTCGCAGAATACAGCTTTGTGTGTTTCTGTGTGTGTGTGCTGCAAAGGGAGAGAGGCCCTTGTGGCCACGGGGTTACTTCCCCGTGTCAGCCTTTATTTTATGATGTCATGGTGCAGCAGAGAAGTGGGACACGGCACACGCAGTGGGAACATGCCATTAGATTTGAGCATGTTTGAAGGGGGAGGAGTGTAACGTGAAGAGGTTAGGACAGGAACAGCTCTGCCCTGCCATTTGAAACTCACTCCTGGGACTCAGACAGCCCGCCAGACAGGGAGGAACACAGGGGTGTGGAAAGAGGAGTCAATTCCTCTCACAAATTCAAGTGCACACACATACACAGAGTTTATTTCCCCCACGTTTGCTATACTAAAATGAAATATGGTCTTACATTTATTATTCATCTTAAACTCAGATTGCCTATAATAGAATCAGGCACAATGCTTGTTTTCCTGACTGTCTACAAGAGATGAACTCCACAGAAAATGTTTCCCTGGTTATCGCATTAAATCCTTCAGTATCACAACACCCAAACAAATTATTGAATTTCCACGCTGTCTTTCCTTGTCCTCCAACTTGAGGAGGAAAATTTGTAGTCACGGGGGAAAATTTAAGGTCTGAAAAATGATTAAAAAGGGCAATTTTTCTGGATATGTATTTTCTGACTGTAGTAATTTCCCTAAGCTGCTGTTGGACATGACAGCATTATCACTTTGCCTTTGACACTGTGTAAGATAAAGCAGTGGGTACACCAAGGTCCAAAAATGTTGCTTTTATAGGTAGGAACTGTCCCATTCATCATGTTATAACACCTGGAGCTCTCTGTAATCCCTGTCCATAAGTCAGCGTGGAGCAGGTATTTTCTGCCCTGACACAAAGTAAACTGAGGAGGTAATTTTAGACCCAAATATTAAAAAAAAAAAAAGGAAAAAAAAAGAAGCTTTGATAGAGAAATATTTCAATACTTGTGACGTGTGAACAAGTAAATGCATTAAGACATAAATGCAAGACAAAGTATCTTTCAGAAATCAGTTTATATGACAAAGTGGTTATTATTTAATATCATATTCCATTACATGTTCTATGCAAGGACAGTGTGCATAACCATTTTGTTTTTTCATGTTCTTAAGGATACAAATAAACTTAATGTTACAAATATAAATGTTTCTTAAGACAATAAAACATACTCAATGACAACAAGGAGAGTAGGCAGGGATATGGCAGCTTACACATCGTGGTCGGACAGGGTTTGTCAACAGTTGTGAGCGTTGTTTGTTGATTCAGCCGCAATTGGTCTTCCAAGAATCAATAGTAAGCTCTAACAAAGCAGGAAAGAACTGGATATGTGGCAGCTGGAACTATTTACCAAAAGAAATACTTTGCACATAGTTCACTCTGTTAGTGGCAATGTCGGATTCAAACATCTCAAACAACTCTTCCTCTGCCTGAGCAGAATATCTTGTGAGGTAAAGTGCACAGTTAGTGTAAGTGACACAGCAACTTTTTCTTCTTCAAATTTAAGCACTTGCATCCAATCAACACCACAATTGCAATTTACAGTTTTTGCTTAATCCTTCATACCCCTGCCTCCTCGTTCTTACAATTAGCACAAGTCATATCATCAGTTCAGGTTTGTTAGTAACAAGCTAAAAGACAATGGGATGATCGGCCCAAACACACAGAGGCCTGTTTTTCCACACTAAAATGATGGAACAGTTCAGATTCTTTGACTCAAGACTCTCTTTGCTATTTTCTATAAAAAACACATAATTCTGATTATTCTAAACGACGGGATGGGGAGAGAAATACAACGATCACTTACAGGGATGATGAGGAATGTTGTCAATGTAGAAGTTTCTCTTTTAATTGGAAGTTGTCTGTGTTGCGTTTTATTGCAACACTTTAATTGAACTTTCATGTTTTAAGCGTTATGCATTGAATGGCAACGAACAAACCTAGTTTGTTTTATGATTTTTTTTTTTGCTATTCTGTGTTGTGTTGCATCAGTCAAATAACTATGTTTTCATAGTGATCACTGTTGCAGGAAAGAAGCATTAGCTGTAACTTCTACAATGGCTAACATCGCAGCTTATTACGTTCTACAATGGCATTATGATAAATGTTGTTTTTTTTATTACTCCAAATAAATCACATCTTACAAAAGATGTTTGTTTAAGATAAGAAATACCACATGACTATCAATTTTAAATCACATCAACATCTCCTACTTTCAATGACTTAATTGGATCAATGTTTAACAGTGGCTAAAATAAAATAAATCTAGATTTTATGTCTGTACAATCTTTCTCAATAAGAGACCGGTGCTCCCTTTTGGTACACAAAACAAAATAAAAACACAGGAATGTGTCGTCCACACATACGGAAAAATAAAGTTGGCACATTTGAAATATAATCTGAATTGATTACATACTAATCCACAAACTGCTAGTTGTTGCGGCATGTACAATATCCAATCAGAATGTGAAAAAACACTAAATGTCAGAGACATGGGGGGGGGGTCTTATTCAATACTTTAAACTGCACAGCCATGGTGGTGTTGAGGACAAAGGGCAGGTTGCATTTAGAAAAAGAAAATCACTGCCTTTCATGGCTCGATCTCTGCTGTACACAACACATCCTTAAAACTCCTATCTATGCAGAATCCCTTATGCGGAAACCTCATTCTCTATGCTTACTCTGTGAGACTGCTCGAACCTTATATTCAGAGGAGAATTATTGTCTTCTGAAATATGCAGACTTCTCGAAGCATTGTGGATGCACCTTGAGCCGAGATGATGTGTAAAATTGCATTTTTAGAAGCATGCAGGCTGGGAGAGGAAGCATCATGAAACAGACACATCACAAGCTGCGGTAGCAGACTGTTTAAATGAAAAATCTCCATCTATTCAGCCCAGGAGTCAAGCACACTGAATCCTATTTTGCCTGGGTTCCTGTTCCGATTATTGAGCTTGCATGGTGCACACACACAAATGCACAGGCACACAAAGCCTAAAGCAGAGTTATGGTATTACTAAAGTCACTCATGTTTTGGTAAAAGGGTCACTTATGCCATTAGTGCTGGGGAATTTGAGGGCGTTTGGAGACTCACTTGTTAAGACAAGCATCATCTTGTCTTCTGTGCCCCATAGTCGATTATTCTGGTCGTGCCCACTCTCCATGTGGATTCAGTGGTTGTTTTTAGTAGCATCTGCTTACAGTTTAGGGGCAGTGAGGGGACAGGGCTGCCTTAGGCATGAATATATGAATAAATAGTTCACATGAAGAAGCCGTGTGACAGTGTGTCCTTACAGAGCAACAAAGCTCACAGCAAAGTTTATTTATCTATTCTATTTTGCACACGAACACAGAGCATCAGGTGTTTGTTTCAACGCTGAAAGCCTCATCAGGTGGGAGATGTTACTGAAAACAGATGTAACGTATTTAGTTTATGACTACACATATCCCACGAGGAAACGTCTTTAATAAAGTAATGCAGTTTGTAGTTCTTAAACCCATTTAGTGTTTGAGCCATGGATTCCCTCAGTAGATTTGGAGTGCTTTTTCCCCAAAGGTTTTTTTTAAATGTATGAATAAAATACTTCCTGTGGTTCGTATAAGCCTAAAAACATTTCATATTTTCTTCTACAATATAAATGTATCAATTGAAATCTCAGCTGTGATTTTTAAGCTGCTTACATTAATTACATGTCTGTTCAAAATAGTGAAATATGTTATCTTGTTCAACCAAGTGTGTTCATATGACACTGTATGTCTTGCTTTTTTTCCCACAGAGCTTATTTTTATCTAACTATTTATTTTTTGAAAACGGGGGGAAAAATCCAAAGAAAATCTGCTGTGGGATTTCTCAGTTGAGCAGTGCAGGTCTCCAAACAGATAATTTTGGACTTATTTTTAGAGCCTTGATATTAAAAAGAGATATGCATATTGAAAACACAATATTAAAAACACAACACCTTTTGTATAATCAAACTCCCCCCCCACTGACAACCTGTGTGACCGAAAGAAAGGTCAAAGGGTCACATTAGCTCCCTTTAGGCAGTTATATGCATTTAGAAACATGTCTCTCATGTTAACAGCAAAAGCGACCTTGGGAGAGAGATCAGCACCCAGAGGCATGGGTTAGATATTACACAACTAAAAATAACATGCATCTTGTCACAAAGGAGATTACAGTTTCAAGATCCATGAGTCACATGCTCTGAAATATCAGCGCAGACAGGGGCCAGCTCTCGTGGCTTTGTGGAATATGTTAAGAACTTAAATGACTCATGTGCACTCTGTACATTTATTAGTGAAATATTGTCTTGATGTTGGTTTTGAAGGAGGGATCGACTGTTTTAAGCCACCATTCCCTCTTCTGTTGAGAGGTGACTTGTTGAAGAAAATGTCAGCAGGTGGTAGGCTTGCCAACATGGCTGTTGAATCCCTGTCTTCCATTTAAAGGACAGCTGGCCCTTCATTGAATGTACTGTATGCTGTATGCTTTTCAAGATTATGAGCTTCCACTATGGTGTGGTCCTTGGCAGAATGTCATATTTTCAATACACTCCATGAATCCTGTCAAACCTGTATGTGAACTTTAGTATTCTGATTTTAAAAAAGGATAAGTAGAATCCTTCAAAATCAAAATGAATTTCCAACCAATGAGCACCTTCCATTTCAAGCAGCAGCAGCCTAATGTGTTTTTTTTATTTTTTTATATAAGTCAAACAAGCTAGAGAGAACATGAACATTTTGAGTAATGACAAAGTATTGAATAAATATGTAAGGCATCAGACAAAGAATATGAAAATGAAATATTTGTGTGTGATGTACTGTAGATTCTTCAGCCATTTTTGTTCTATATGTGGAGCTGTGTGTGGGTGCTTTTGTGTGTGTGTGTGGGGGGGTGTGTGCCACAGTGAGGGCAGGTCTCTCTCCCTCCTTCAGATGTCTTCCAGGTCTCCACCTCGCAGGCCTCTTTGGCACTTATCTAGCGTCTTGTGGTAGGCGCGGGTGATCATCGAGCTTGGTGATTTGCGTTGTGGCGTGAACGAGACCTTTCCAGGACTGCGCGGCGGTTGTCTGTTGGGTGGGAGAAACAATGAAGAAACCAAGTGAGACTGAGAATGAGCAAGAAAGTGTTGTTTCATTGATCCATACTGGCACACAGAAGCTCAACTAAATGAAAGACTGTATGGAGAAACTAAGGGAGGCAGAGAAAAGAGATGGAAGGGAGAGAAGAAACAACATGAAGCAAATCCAGGCTGATTGAGAGCAGAGCAGCAGGGGAGGACGGAGAAACAGAAGAAGCGGCTGGAGTTGAGGTACTTGTGTCTGGTGTCATAGTAACTCTATTCAGCTCCTGATCCAGGCTTCCACTCAAGAGCCCCTCAATGATTTTTACATCAGATGCACAGAGGACAAAGTAAATACACAAATAACAAGCGGAGGCAGAAGACTACATATATAGTACATATAAAACACAAAAAGAAAATGAACAAGGGCTGCAATACTTGTTTGTGTTATACAGTGAGAACATAAGGTTTATGGTGGGATACCAACCTTTGATTGAAAAAATGAATAAAATCAGAAGTAAAAAAAATAGTTTAAAGTGGCTGCTTTACACCCAGTAATATCCGGCACTGAATGTGTCACCGCAGTATTTGTGGTCTGAAAGCAGGGCCAGTATCACTTCTCAGTACTTTCTCAGTTGCCAGTTCTATGACAGAGTCATACAAACACTGCCTCCCATGCTATCCAGCCATGTCTGCCCAGAAATGACCATGGCATCCGCCGGGCAGCCAGGTGGCAGGTGGGGCTGGACAGAACCAGGAAGCATAGCCATGGAGATGACTGCAGGCACACCCACACAGGACTCCCTGGTGTTTCCAAGCGTGCCGCCACCACTATGCCCATTACTCAGTGCCAGCTGTAGGGTGCCAGGCGTCCCGGGCTGGGCGTTGTTTAATGGCACTCGCTCCATCCATCATGTCAGGTAATGGGCTGAGAGTGACTGTGATGGCTGGGAACACATACACAAACGTGCGCACACACAGAGAGACTCCTACCCGGAACAGAAAGCACTCCTTCAGATTGGATACAAAGCATCATGCAGATGGTGCACAGGAGGAGAGAGGGAGGAATAGGGAGGGAAAGAAAATAAAGAGTGAAAGGAAGACAGATTGAAATTCCATATTCTCTGCTGCTTTCGGTTTAACGTAGGTTCATATACAGTAGGTGATGGTCAAGTTAACACGTTAATGCAGTGTGTCCATACAATACATCACTACTTATCCACAGACTCTTTTTACATCCACAGGTTGTGCTTCAGTCTGTAAATAGGATTTATACAACATCCCTCCTTTCAAGACAAACATCCATAGTACACAAAAAAGAAGGAAAGGGGACAGAATAGGGAAAAAAGAAGTAATCATACACAATCCATCCCTGCCAATCATTTGCAAGCCCAATTGCTGTAACCTCATTTCTGGGCAAGAGGAGCATAAAAATCAGAGCTGGGAGGATGCAGACCCTTTGTCTCTAATGTGGGGTCATCCTGGGCTACATCTATTACTGTAAATAGGATGGGGAAAAAGATCAAAGAGAAGACTATACAAAACAACAATAAATGAATTTGGAGACAAGTTAACTCATAAAAGGCAAACTGGAACAATTCACAAACAAATCTAAAACAAATACAACTACCGGGGGTTTGAATAAGGGCTACAACAACATGTAAATTTTTTGAGTCACATTTTATTCACCAATACCCACCATCAAACCAACCTTTTTAAACTGTTTTATTGAAATCAGGGTGCAAAGATCTTCAGCACTGTCTTAGAATTTGTATTACTGTTGCATAGCAAGGAGAAGGAATTCTATATTTTGGATTAATAAAGTAGACCTACTTCATATTATCGCCGCAATCTTTTGGACTAATTTCGCTGTTTGACAAGAGTTAACTGTCTGTTCTGCCACATATGCTGTTTTGAGACCAACTTAGGAAAGGGTGAGTACATAATGCATTTTTCTGCCATTCGGACCTTTTCAAGTTATCGTGAGGATTCACATTTAGAAATTATTAGATTTGGTGTTCTTGCTTTTCTGAAATGGATATGCGCCACAGCAAATCGTATGATTCCATATGGCTTGTAGCCTACACATCGCTAGGATCTTATACCGTTGTCGCTACATCCTGCCGATCAATACTGCATATGTGCAACTCTGAACACACATGACAAGGAAGCAAGATGGCTTACTTTTTAGCTATTTCCATCATCAGCCCCGGAAAAAACACACAGTGTTTAATTCAACACAGGCTTAGATCGATTATATTTACAATCCCAAAACTAATCAGGGAATAGACAGCACACTTTATCTTTTTGTTCGTTGTTACTGCTATTTATCAATTGTGAAATCTTCATTTCATGAACCTACAACCCCTAAATCCTTTCTCCTAACCCTTGAACACATTTCATGACAGAAGGAAACAGACATCTTTCATGCTTTGAGCTCTGTGAAATAAACATATATTCTCAAAAATCATTTTGATGGTCTGTATCAAGTGGTTTGATAACAGTAAACCATTTTTGATATTTTTTTACGCTAAAACAGAGGCACTTGTCATCAGCTCTCTTCACCAATACAGCGTACTTATAGTTAACCTTGGTATTGATTCAAAGAGCAGGTGTTTTCATACTAATATGAGCACCGTGCACTTAACAAGAGCACTGGCTTTGTTATTTGAAGAGGCAGCCATTTTGAATGCTGTGCAAACCAAAAACACTGCAGACCATTAGAGTGACCACTTGTTGAAACCCCGCAGGAACAATGCCATACAGTAGGCCCCTTTTTTGGAATAACAAATGAAAAGTGACCTCTTGGGGGCAACTGTGTCTTGCTCAATTGCCTAAATACATGGGGACGCTTCCGTCAAAGACATAGCAAAAACGAGAAAAAACTTGCAGCAAAATGTATCTCCCATCAGAGGATCCTTGAGCGGACAGCTATTGGCTTCTCATAAATACTTTTCTGTTCCTATCTGCAGGTGCATAAAAGCCCATCCTTCCCCACCCCGCATCAATCTATCACAACAATTGAACAAACAGCTGCCATTTCTACTGAGAGAGAAACATTACTACTAGCCTCTACTGAATTGAATGCTTCAAACGCGCACACATGCAGACAGAGAGGGAAACAAAGAGAGACATGGGGATAGCAGGAGAGATCCACACAAAAGACTAACTCTAGTTTTTTTTTTTTTTGAGCACTGATTGCAACTCTTTCTACTCGCATTGGGTTTGATGGCTTCTTTACCTGCTTCTCCCAGAGGCAACATCTTTCCGAGTTACAGTAGGCACGACACAGGAGAGCACAAGAACAGAAGAAGAAATTGACAAAAAGAAGAGCAGGTATTCCATGTTAGAGCAGGGAGATGCTGGCATACTAGAACTTAATTAAATGCTGGCTGGCACCATTTCTCAAAATGTTACTAAATGCACTGAGGATTTCAATGAGGGTGGGCAGATGGAGGGGGAAGTCACTGACTTTTACTCACACACATGCACACACACTATCTCTTCCTCTGTCTCTCTCTCACACACACACACACACACACACACACACACACAAGGAAATACATTGTTTCTTAAGTGTTCAAGCGGTGCACAGAGAAACGGCTCAGTGCATTGCTTTGAGGAAATCACACACACTCTGTTTCTTACACACAAGGATATCCTTGCATGTATATCATGATGATCCCTGCCACAAGGGAGAGGTTCTGAATAAGACAAGGGTAATAGGAGGAGGAGAGTACGCCAAGATTACTGAACAGCTAAAGCAGAGGCCTTAAGCCGGTGCAGTCAACTTCAACCTTCTCCTGACTGTTTGGAGGGCCTCCAGTGAGATGTCATTTCATGTTATGATAGACGATAGAGCCGCGGTTTCCCTAGTGGATTCCCCAAAAGAGATTAAATACCATAATGGCTTTTGTGTTACTGTCATCTTTAGCTAATTACGCAGAATTACATCATGATAAGGCTCTACAATCCGCAATACAGGGAAAAGCTGCCAGTCATCTATCAAACGCGTTCAACATGGGATACTTTGAGGAATTACCTCTCAGTGGCCAGTATAAACAGGAAGCCTTTTGGAGGGATTATGCTGTGTTAGTTAAATATCATCTGGGTAGAATCAGACTCCAGGGCCAACATCTAAACATGGTACTCACATTCATCAAGGCCACAATAACAAGGTCAGGTTCACATAATCACCAATCGCGTGTGTAAATAGCCGCAGAAGGCAAACAGGATGGATCATGGCATAGGACTGGAGCTGCATCTATTTTAGAATGTCTGAGCAAATCTTTGCAAACTTGTTTTGTGCTAAACAAGTGAGCAATGACATGATTGCTCTGACATGTTGCTGCATTTGTCTAATATTCTCTCTCAGAGTGCACTTCATATTTTGATGAGATAAAACATAATAAAGCTGATTAAATCTCTGCTCGCTGTGCATCAGCATGTTGTGTTTGCGTTCTGTCGAAAGGGGAGAGCATCTGCAGCACAAGTAACAGCCGCAACCTTCTATCACCTCTTTTCATCTTCTCCACCTCCCTTACCACTTTCCCCACTGCCAGCTTCCAAGCTACAGAGTAATGGAACTCCCTACACAGAAACAAGATACGGTATATAAATGGGATGCAGAGGGAGAGAAGCTATTTCTTCCTACTGAAAGTTATGGGCTGGGTATCGCAAAACTCGTCGTTGCAAACACAGCCCCTCATTCACTGGTAAGAGTAATCACTCCAAACAAGGAGCAGGGGAGGAAAAAATAGTGCAGCTCAAGTAAATCTGAGTTCAGTTGTGGAGAACTGGGGAAAAAAAGAGGGGAAGATGATGGGGATGGTGGGTCAAATAAGAAAGCATGACCCTGTTCTATCTGATGTTACAAGTCACTCATTGATTTATAACAAGCAGCTGAAATGTATACAAACCAATGCATGGTAGAAGATTCAAGGGTTAAAAACCCCACATGGGGTGGGGGGATGGGGGTTTAGTGTCATGGGATTAGCCCGTGTCCCA